CTTGCAACAGCTTGTTGTCCATTCGACCTTGATAATTTTCGTTCGAAATGTTTCTAATTTTTTAAATTGAAAAATGGGAACCATAAGAAACTAAACTTCTGAACTACACTCGATATAAAACAATTATTCAGCAAGTAACCAATTTAGAACATTATAACTGATCTTTGTGGACTTTTTGAACTGAAACGAGTTCAAATTATACTACTTTCTGACCAATTTACACAACGAAATCATCTTTGAGTCTTCACGTTCATAACCTGTTCCTTGCTGAAAGGTTCCATTTGATCTGAAGTAAGAGATGAAGTGTCTTTTGAGTAAATTCCAGTATTCAATTGATTTATTTCTCAGTTGCACTACAAGTGCTTGGATTTAAGGATTTTGCTACAATTTTTCGGAAGAAAAACAACTACGTTTCATCTCTTTATCTATTCAAGATAAACTTTGTATTGTTTGCCTAATTAAAATTATTGTTAAATTTGATGGGATGCCCAAATATGGTGAAAATGAATCAGAACAGATCCCTCTTCAGCTGTTGTATTTAATAAATTCAATATATTTTAAAAATCACGCATAGAACTCGCTTAACTCATGTTTGGCGCGTCACACTCCCGTTAACTATTAGGAAAAAGCCTAACAATAGATGTAAAATCGTCGAATTCATAAAGATTTTACGTTAAGTTGATGGTTCGCCGAAATTACCTCCTCGCATTGTTCTGTATGACAAACAGGTTTTTTGTAACATTGTTGTCCGACGTTCATCATCGCTCATTTCCTTTTCTGCTTCAAGTAGAACTCACGCCTCTTGGAACAGTGTGGTGAAGGTGGCATGTCATTACTCTTGCTGATTTTGCTCACGATACATTCTGTTCATGGACAGAATCAAGGACTACTCGGACAGATTCTTGGTGAGCTGATTTTTCTTCTGATTTGAATTTATCTTATCTCCTTATTCATTAGGTTCTTTTGAAATCTGACAATTTTTCGATGTGAAAGAAACTAAATAAATGTTAATAGTTCGTATGTAGATATGACAAGATACGTTCTTGAGTTTGGTTTAATTTAGGTTTTTTTAAACTTTATTTGTACACTAATCTGGTTCAATTTAGACCATTAACTATTTTATAGAATATTGTAGCACAGAGTTAATGCAATGAATGCACTTTTTACTTTTCTGCAAAGTATGTTTTTCTAGGAATTTTTAGCAGAGCCAACCAGTACTTTAAAATGTAATATTGCACTTGACGTACATGGTGATTCCTCGGTCAATATGTAATTGTGGGAAATTGGGAGGTAATTTTGCAATCAGGTTGTCTTCGGGACCATGTTTACAGTAACCCTAAATGGCATCATAACCACTGGATAAATTTTGAAGACCTCAAAAAAATTAAAATAACCCTGTTTATGACATGAGAATGGAGCTCTGAAGAAACTGTAAAGTCAAAGGAGTTTCTGACAATCAAGTAATTTCACGAAGCAATGTTATCTAGATGTTTAGAAGTTATTTTTACTACTGACCTCTCATACAGTATAAAGAACCAGTATGTACAAAATTCTCTGATTTGAACTTGCTGCGCCATTGAAAATTTCTTCCTCTACCATTATGCAGTAGTATGTTTGTTGCTTTTTTTACAACTATTATTCAAGAAAGCTACTGCAGATATGATCTTAACACAGTAAAAAATAGCTGATCTTTTTAATTATTTAAATATTATCTTCTTAGGATTTGAATTCGACCGTCAATATCTAATTGTAAGCATCATATGTATGTCTAGTTCTAATTACTACATCTAAACTCTGAGATA